TCACCGATCAGAGCTAATGCGATGCTGTGCTACTGAGCTCCATGCTAATGAAGCAAATAGAACAGATTGAAGGATCGAACAGAAAAGAGAAGCACAAACACGGCTGCTAAGCTAAGAACAAGCTAAACAGTATGCTAGAAAGGTGAAGAGGCTGAGAGAAAGCTTGCAGAATTCGAACAGAAGGAGTCTACTTTCAACACTCAAATTGGTAAGACACAATCCGATTTGAAGAAGACTCAACAATCAGTCAGAGATGGCGAATTGAGAACTGCCGAGTTGGAAGACATATCAGAAAATTTGGTGAATATCTGAACAACAAACAACTTGAAGTTAATCGGGTGAGTGCAATTACTTTTGAAGACTAAGAACAGGTTGATTCAAGTAAAACACAAAAAGACAAGGATAAATAATTATTATATTGTTTTATAGTTTTTTTAAATTAAAATCTATTTAAGTACAAAAGTCTATTTATCAAAAAATATACTATTATTATTATTTTTTTATAGTTTAATTTCAACTAGATGCCTCGAGTCTTTGAAAGATGCCTTTTCAAATAATTTTCATTGAGTGATGGATATTTCCAATGACAAAAAAGATTGTGATGTTCTATTTTTAATAAGGAATTGGAGTTTCGATACAAAATTGATACAAATTGATTTAATCATATTAACTTTATCTGTAGAACGCAAAAATACATTAAAAAGTAGCGATTCATTTCACAACATCACTGATGTTTTTATTTATTTAAAATAGTCAATTTACTATATACTGTCAATTGTAATATTCTAATTATGTGATAAAGTCTATTGATCTTTTCTGAGTTTTTTGCTTCAAAAAAATAAATTGTGTTACCAAATTATTAAATTATAATTAATTATATCAACATTTGTGCTATTTGTTTTTAGATGACAATATCAACTTTAATATGATTTTAATGGTTAATTACTATAGTTTGTAGTTTGAATAAACCCATAATAAATAAAAATACCTAACTACTTTTCAATTAACATACTTCAGAAAGATACAACGGGACACAGAGAGTAGATATGCCGCAACTGTCGAAACTTGTTGAACCCGGCGAGTTGCGGCGTCGTGAATCCATCTCCGGAAGATACTTGACACAAAGAGGAGATGCCTGAAAAAAAAACATCAAGATATCCTAATCGAGTGTTCGTTCCAGTGTTAGATTTGAAGGGTGAAAACCGTTTTCTTTTCGTCTGTCCGACCCTTCAAAAAGGACAGATTTTGTTAAAATTGTGTACATTAATTCAAGTTGTGGTGACGTGGAAAATTACAAAAATGACACTTTGGAGTCAATGCCTTGCAAAGTTTGAAATAAAAAATGACAAAAAGTTAGTTAAGTTGGAAGACAACAACACTCTTTGGTGTAAATTTGCCATCATCAGTCAACTCGTTTTGTTTGGCGGTGTAAGTGGCTGGGTTGCAATAACTACAATTTTGACCATTCTTGCACACAGCTATATCACAACACAAACCAAATGCAAAAAGATATTGATTGTCTTGAGAATAAAGATAAAATTCGTGATCGGTGTTATTTTTATTCTTTTCAAACTTTTTTGGATTCAAAGTGCCATTTCTCACAAGCGAAAATGTGTAAGAACTGCCGCTGCTGATCCAATTGCCAACAGCATTTATATTTCCAGTAAACACGCCACCAAATTTGTTATGATTTGTGTCTTCTACCAAAAAGCACAAGTTGTTTTTGTTAATAATTTTTGAATCAAACACTGACGTGTCTTTTGACCAATTGTCTTTATCCGAGTCAAACACAACACTCGCAATCTTCATTCCTGTCAACTTCTCAAGACCGGCTTTCTCTTCAAGTGTGATGTGTTCGCGCTTTATTCTCTCTGCTTCTTCATCGTGTTGTCTCTTTGCACTGATGAATTTCTCCGATTTCTTTATTTGATCAATTCTAGTGTTTTTTGCTTGTTTGATTTTGTCAATTTCATCTTCAAGTGGTTTTGTGTCCATTTTGCACTTCTCTTCATAAAGTGCTATTTTGATATTGAATATCTTATACAACTTCTCGTTATCAGTCTCTGTTGCATACAGACTTGTCTCATTTTTGATTTTGTTGGATGTGTTGTCCAAATCGGTGACGATCGTGTTAAGTGAAGTTGTGATGTTCTTCTTTCTATCAAATACCTCATCAAGTCTGTCGAAGTATCCCTCTGCATTTTCGATGCGTTGATCAATATCAAGTGACTTGTTGTCAACAAAGTTGTATTCCCTTTTATTTTTGTTGAGGTCTGACACCGCCTTTGCTGCCTTAGTGCAGAGTGCTGAGAGTGCTGTTAACTTGTTTTCCATGTATGTTAAAAGAGTTTATTTGTTTTTATATTTAATTTTATATAAATCTCATTCAAAAACATTATTACCTCATAAATAATAATTTTTTTTCAATTAAAAACCAAAAAAAAATTATTCGAATTTACATAAAATGATTATAATTTCAAGCAGGGTCCATCACGGAACAGGAAAAAATTTGGAACTTGTCCCAAAAATGCATTTTAAAATGAAAAGAAATATATTTGTTTTGTTTTTATGCCAAAAATAAAGTAGTTTTAGTAAAATTAATAGTTATGTTTGTTTTTACGATCTCCAAAACCTTTTCTTAATGTTAAAACGACAGTTAACAACAAAACTATAAAATATTAAAATGTATAGTATATGAATAAATGGTTTATTAATATAATATTTATACTATATAAAATAAAACTATTAATTATAATTGATACAATTATAAAATATTAGAAATTGTTTAATAAAGATGAAATAATAATTTAACTTATTAAAATAAAATTTGTTATTAACTATACTTTTATTAAAATATAGTTAAATGAAATCAACCAGAACAAAGCTGTCGCCTTTCGATTACTTGTTAAAATTGATTTGTTGTTGCTTTTTATCACTTTCAAACATCAAGTAGTGGTTTAATATACCAAATTAAAATAAAATGTAATAGAATAGACTATAACAAAACATTGAGACACAATACTTGGTGTTGTTGATAAATTTAATTATTTTTTATTAACATGAATACTTTGATAGAACAGAAGAGTTATTGTTTGCAGATAAATAATTAAAACGATTTTGTTCATCATTGAAGCATAAACAGAGTGTTTGAAACAAAACAATTTCAATTATCTTCATTATATTGTTTAGTCTTTATAATTTCATCAAAGCTATTATTGTATCATATATTTACCATATTTATGAGTATTTTGTTTAATTGAAAATTGACAGTCAGTATGTTAGTCAGGTGTCTCCATTTTTTACTCGAAAATACCCACGTCATTAATTTTTTACCATTTAAATATATATTAAAAACCATTTTTTAATAATATTTTTTTATTTTTAAAAACATAATTATTCTAAACCATAAAATAAGTCATCATAATTTTATTTATTCAAAAAAATACTTCGAATAACCAAAAAATATTAAACAATTAAAAAGCAGAAAAATTTAATTGTTATGATTTATTCTTTTTCCATATTTTGAAAAAGAATAAAAAATCAAATTTATTTTTTATTTATTTTTTACAATTAAAATTATCCACACGATTTTATCAATTTTATTTTTTTAATAATTATCTTGTGAATTATTTGCTCGACCGAATTCACGTTTTGATACAACATATTTAAATCACGTCAAATATATACAAACGGTGTTAACTTTTGAGCGGCACTTGCTTCAAATATTTAACAAAAATCAACAAAAGAGTGTAACACATTGGTTAGACAACACACAATAATTGATATATTTAATGTTGTTTTGAATGTTTGAATAATAACATCGATGAATCACAAAAAAGGTTAAAAAAATAAATTATAATTATGTGTGTATTTCACAGACTCGACATATTATATCCAAAAACAGGAAAAACACGATTAACAATATATTGTAAATTTATAATAAATATGGTAGTAACAATAATGTATTTGGTGAATACCACACGTTTTTGGCAATAAAAGCTGTATTTAATAAAAATCAGTATATTAATATTTTAAATTTAGATATGCAACACAAAAATAATTTATTGATAAGCAGAAAAATACAAATCAATTAACTTTTAAAATAAAGTGTTTTCAAATATTCACATAACAAAGTTATCAACATGATTAAATGATTAAATAAATTAATAACACATATATGATATTTTTAATATAACTTTGATTGTTAAATAAAAATTACATCGAATAACAACCGTTAATGACATTGTTTTTTCAATTATTAATTATATTTTTTTAGTAATCTGTTTGATATTTTGTCGAAAAGAAAAACCAAATAAAAACAATTATTATTTATTTCGTTATGTAACTCCTTGGATATCCTCATTTTTCATGCAAAAACCATTTGTTTATAAATACTAATAAGTGAAATATTATATACAATTATTGTTTTTGACAATCCTTTTATTATTTTTCAAATTACAAGACACAACAGTAAACAGGTTTATTTGGATAACACCACAACACTTTCATTAAAGTCAAATAAAAGCACCCATTAAATGCCAATTTTCAATTATTTAATAACAATAGTTGGTGTATAAAATTTTACTGTTTATTGCTACACTTTCATTTTAAAAACAGCTTATAATAAAACTTGACAAATTTTAAGTGTGTAAATATATAACATCAAACAGAAAGCTTAAATGAAAATCGAAAAAATATCATAAGTTTCAACAATTTTGGGTTCTGACTTGTGGTTCACACACATGCCCATTAAATATTAAATCGATTTCCCTGTCGTCGTAAAGTTAACAATAAAAATACACATTTTTATTAGAATTACATTTCATTTTTTATTGTTTGAATTTATCATTGTAATAAGTTACATGAAACAACATGTGGTACATTCACAACATGTCATTATAATTACAATTTATAAATAAAAAAAATAAAATGTAAAATACACTTAACACACTCTGAGTTTTTTATATTAATATTAAATTGACATTGATATTATAATATATTTACAGAAAAAATGGGTTTGACAATCATCGTTTATATATAATATATATAAAATCATTTATTATATATAATATATATTAATTGATGATTTTAATTATGTTTGTTGTTTATAATGGATTGCTTTTTGTATTAAAAATTAAACAATTCAATTCAAAAAAGTTTATTTTTCCCAATTTAAAAACATTTTAGTTTATTATAATGTTTTACCAAAAATTATTTTTGCCAAATTAAAAATTTAAATTCCAATTGAGGAATAACTTAACCAAATTATACCAAAAACTATTTTATTTGACAGTTATTTTTTTCTTGCTAAAAATTTACTAATAATACCAGTTTGATCTCTAAATACAGTAAAGTAAATATTGGAGACGCCTGAATGTTTGTTGATGTGTTTTAATATAGATCATAATTAAATTATTTAAAATTAATAATTATAATAATAATTATTGATTTTATTAATGAAATGTTAAAAAATATTATATAAAAGTACTATATAAACAAGTCAGTGAAAAAATCTGGCTTGTTTTAAATTATAATTTTTATTGTTATATGTTATAAACATTAAAATATTTCAAAAACAAAACCAAAAAACTAAAAATAAAAATACTAACAAAATGTTGTTTGAAATTATTACAATTCACCTCGATAAAAATGATGTTTTGAATACGAAAACGGAGTTTTGTAGTGACAGAAAAGTTCTTGAAATGGCTTGCAAAAGCGGAGCTTCGAGACGGTGAATTTTTCGCAACGACGTACAGCTGGTAAGATGTTACATATGTGGGGTTTGTAGAACCACAGCGTGATTCCATTGGTGTTGTTTTGTATTTGTATTACTACTACACAAATGACACAAACAACTGAACTAATCAAGGACCAAACAGTCAAACAACGAATTAGAAATGAGGTGAATTTCTTGTCGTATCGAGATTGGAAGAATATTATTAAGCCAGACTATTCGATTTGGGAGGAAAGCAACGACGCATGGACTTCCTTAAGTGTCCCACTGCGGTACTATGGATTCACACAAATTCAAGGCCACCACAGATTGTTGGCGACTGCTATGATGGAAGAGAAGTATTACAAAGATACTAAAAGAGCCGAATTACTGAGAAAAAGACACAGGACCTATCAACTTTATTTGAGAAATTGTTCTGAAATGAAGAGAAAAGGTACTTCGTCCAAGTCATTTGGCAGGACAACAAAAAGTGATCGTCGACACATCGACTGCAACTATGGCGTTCAGTGACATTGTAACTGATCAAATAAAGATAAAAAACACTTTAATAACATCAGAAAGTTCAACATCAAACTTGAATATGGCATTGCAAGACATCCACAAGACTCATACTTCTATTTTTCAAAGTGGAATATTGGAGGAAAAGAAGCTGGTGAAGCAAGCCTACTATGGGGAGAAGCTGTAGACTGAATCACTGGCGCTAATTATGTCGTCAATGCCTGATGTATACAAACACACAGGTGTGTGCATCATGATAGCGCTTCAGAATCAACAACTCTTCCCACTCTTTAATTATAAGAAGTGGTAATTTGGTAGTTTCGTAATTATTTTTATATTATAACATGTGTGTTGATATAAAATAATAATAATAGTAATATTAGTAAGTTAACTAAATAATATAAAATTGGAGTTTTGGTGCATTGGAGCGACAACACTTAAAAATGCAGAAAGTGTGTTGAGAAAGACGCTGTATTTGAGAGACAATTTCAACAAGTCTACGTCGCTAAGCTCAGAGGACACTTTGTACAGCGTGAGAGGCATCATTTAAAAGTATAAGAGCCACAATGGACTGAAATTCACTGACTCGGCTCTTGTTACAGCTGTCAAAAAATGACATTAATGCAATCGATTTAGTAGGGTGTAACACGTACACAGAAAAACTCGCAGCCAGAAAAGATCGACCATTTGGAAAGAAAAGACACATAACTGACAGTCGAGAAGATCGCACTGGAGGGAGCTGAAGCAGACAACAAGGGATCTTGAGCTTGCCACAGACTCAAAGTATTATGCTATTCCAGAAGCAGAGAAGCGACTCAAAGAATTGAAGAACCAGACAAAAGAGACATCAGTGCTGTCGTCGCAAGTGACCCCACAGCTGATTGAAGATGTGGTGAGAAAACGGACAAGCGTTTTAGTAAGCAGAATGACACAGAGCGAGAAGACAAGACTCCTGAAACTTGGTGACGAGCCGCACAAGAGAATTGTAAGGCAGGACGAGGCTGTGACTGCGGTCTCTGAGGCCATTCTGAGAAGCAGAAGTTGTCTTGAATCAGGCAAGCGACCGATTGGGTCCTTCATCTGTTTTTTTTTGTAAATTTACCCTTAATTACGATGATGGTAAACAATTGAAGAATATAGTCAAAAAAGCCCACACAGCGTTGTTCTGTTTGATGAGTCAAAAAACGCACCAGCATATATTTAATGTGTTGCTGCGGGTGCTTGATGACAGGCGTCTCATATATGGAAGAGAAGAACAGTAGACTTTAAGAACAAAGTCAACTTAATCATGTACGTGTCCTTTGACTGTTTGTAACTCTTAGAAACTTGTTCAAGACCTTTAAACTCGGTGTATTATCCAGATGTGTAGTCTTCAAGTTTGCCACATTCGTCTTGTTTCTCGTCGAGTTAAATTTTTATTTTGGTCAATTTTTCTGATGCAAAATTATAGTATTATCCTTTTTTTGTTTAGCCACCTGGGTTTTTTTCAAATGTTTCAGTTTTGATTGAGATTTTGGCAATATACTTTTCATTTTTTTTCTGATCAATTGGGTCTTTGTTTAGTCTTTCTCCTTTTGATCAAGTTCAGTTAAACCGTTTTTGAATTTGTATTGCTTTATTGTTTTCGAGGTCTTTCTTTATGATAATAATAAATCTTATATCGTTTATATTTTTAAAATATGTCAAATATTGATTTGGGCATTTCATAGTATAGGGGTCTATACATACTCCTTAGCTTTTGCATTTTTTAAAAACCCAGTCTTTTTTCAAGCTTTTTTGCCCAAAAGTGCATTTCCCTTTACCAACTTATTTTTCTTTAAGTAAATAATTTAAAATTGGAGGTGTTTTAGTAAAATAATATGTAACGAAGAAATAATATAAATCTTTCACTTTTTGGTTATTGTTTTGTTCAAAATGCCGAATTTAAAAATAAAACCTTGTGAAGAAAAAATAACTATTTATATCTTTTCAAATTAATAAGTTTGTTATTAAAATATTATTATAAAATTTATAAATATATTTGTTTCAAAAAAGTGTTTCATTATATTTATATTACATATCAATTAATCATATATCAATTAAGAATAATATATATTGTAAATAAATATATTATATTATATTTTCATTTAATTAAATTAACAAAAAATTAATTTTAATTTGTCTTGTAATTATTTTAATATTAAATAAATTAAATAATAATATTTAAATAATAAAATAATATATTATTATTATTATTATAGTGTTAAATATAATTAAACATAAATAATTAAAAAGTGGAATAAATAAAAAAATATTTATTTTTTTTAAATAACAATAATAATTAAACATTCAGAATTATTAATAATTAACAAATTAAAATATAGTAATTATAATTTAAACGATTATTTTGATAATAATCATTCATTGTGTTAATAATTATTACAAATAATTATTCAAATAAAATAAAATATATTATTAGATATATATATCTATTTCAAACAATAAAAATATAAATAAAATTTAATTTATTGAGGTGTTTCATATCAATTGTCGAAATTGGTTTTGAAATCAAAAATCATTTTGTGATTCAAATTACGGTAATATAGTTTTGCAAATACACCATCAATATCCAAATTCAAATGAAGAGCATGTTTCACTTGTGAAAAAAATCTTTCAACAGAAACGGAAGTAGAAAAAGTAGGAAGTAAAATATTTACTATTTCTACAAGTTTTGGATAATCTTTCTTCTCCATAAAAGGATAAACATCAAAAAGGTTATAACTTCTTACGTAACCTGTTTTTTTGATCAATTCAATGTCAAATTTTGACCTTAAGTAATTACCTTTTGATTCTGATTTGATCAAATCCAAATTACTTTCAATAAGAGATTCCAATTTTTCAAGTTCTTCTTTGGTATCTTCGAATCCTTTGGGTATTGTAAAGTCACTATTTCCTTCAAGTGTGTCATCGGAAAATTTATTGATAATTTCATCTGGTTTGTAAAACATGTACATGAGCCCTTCAATGTTAAAGTCTGTATTATCAATTCCTATTAAATTATCACCATTGATTAGTTCAATATCATTCTTTGGTAATTCTCCGAACATTTCACCGAGGATATTGTTCACTTCATTCTCGTCAATACAATGTTCAACTTCTTCAATTTCTTCAGAAGTGGTTTCAACAACATCTTCACTATCAATCTCGATTTTGTTTTCATCATCATCCATTGAATTATTTGTACTGTTAACCAAATAATCTGGCAAATTGGAACACTTTTTCAAAACATCAACAAATTGTCTGATATCTTCAGAAGATGAAATCGTGTTGAATCTGATATCAAAAGATTGAATAACAGTTTGTAATAAACACTGTAAAAAATCCAAGTCAACTTCAGTGTTTGGGGTGTTACAATTCGAGTCATTACCCCAAGAAATACAAATCTGAATAATCACTTTTTCGCACATTATTTAAAACATTGATCAGATACATTCGGAATAATTGAACTCGCTCCCAAAATACAAATATAAATGATTTTTCTTCTTGGAATACAGTGCAAAGACTTTTCACAAGATACAGAACATCGTGCAAAGCTTTGAAATTCATAAGTGTTTTATCTTTATCCAATTCAAATGTTTCTATTAATGGGTAAAGATTTGTTTTTTAACAAAGATCTTTTTCATGTATGCAATCATATCACTGTGTGCTTTTGGTTGTTGTTGATACAACAATATCAGACCATAATTTTCTTCGATATCTCTGATATTTTTTACAATTTCAAGCCATCGAGTCCTTGATGCCACACTAAGTGGAGGAGTTTCATACTCTCTAAACAAATAAAATCTTTTCAGAGTATCACTTTGACAGAAATAAGTAACAAAAGCAGTCATAATTGCAGTCTGATCCATTCGGTTGCTATCTTCGGCGATTAAATTTACTCTGTGTCCAAAACAACTAACACTTTTTAAAGTTCGAGACACTATGCTTCTTTCAATGGTTTTGAGTTTTGCTTTTTTGACCAGATTGTAAAATTCAACAAATAGACCAACGGTTTTAGATGTATTAGAACTTGTTGAATCGAACACCAAAGAAATGATCAAGTGAATTGGAAATTCTATATTTAGTAATCTTGTGAATAACCAATTGGCCATAGCTACTCTACTTTTTGAATGATTGTATTTTTCTAGGAAAAGTGGACAACATTTAATCACTTCACCAGTTGAATAACGCATTAAAACACCCATAATATCTTGACCTTTTTTAGACAAAGAATAATTTCAATCGTTGCGCATATTCCTTTTCTGACTTCTTTGAGATCTCTTTCTCTGCGCATTTCGTTGTATTCATTCATTATTTTACGAACAGTAGAAGGACTTATTGACACCTTTTCGAAATTTTCGGGATTTATACAAAAAAACCAATCTTTGATAATACTTAAGAACATCTGCAACTCCGTTCATTTGAGACTCTGAATAATTCAAATCAATGAAAGTCGATGAAATCATAAAGGTTAATAACATCTTTTTCAATACATGGAGTGATGATTTTCTTTTTGGTTTGTTTTTTCCTTTTGCTGTTCTTCTTTCGTCTCTTAATTTTTCCATTGTTTCATATTTATTAAACAAATAATCACACAAAACGAAAAAGCGTTGTTTTGATGTACTTCCACTCTCTGCAACAAACTCTCTAATGTTAAAAAATAACAACTTTTTGTCCCATTTGTTTAAACTTTTCTTTGTAATTTCATTGAAGAAGTTGTTGTTGAATATGTCGATTTTATTTTTTATCGTTTTTTCATCTTCTCTTTCCTCCTTTTCATCATTTTCATTTTGATCAATATAATCATTATTTGTATCTTCAAATTCGCTATCACTTTCTTCGTCTGAGTTTTGTTCTAATGACATATTTTCAATGTCAGATGAAAAAGTTTTATTATCGTTGAAGTTGTTATAATCACTTTGTTGTAGTAAAGTATTTGTGATTGGGTTGTTTTCAATAGTTTTATTGGATAGTGTTTGTACTTGTTCTTGTACACTTTGTATGACTGATTGTCCGAAGATAACACTTTCATTTTGGATCTGGTGTTCTTGCATTGCTCGATTTCTAAGAGGGTTGGGAGTTTCGAAAGTAAATGGCAAATCTGGAACAGGAACGAAAGCAGGAGTGGTTAAGTTCCCACTCTTCTCCACTGCGTCATGCGGTCGGATAATCGATTCGCCTTCGGATACTGCGTCATGCGGTCGGATACCCTTTAGATTCCCATTACTTTCTATTCCTCCATTCCTTTGTGACTCTTCTTCTTCATTTTCTAACATCATTGTAGTTCTTCCAAATGTGTTACTGATATTGTTCTCAACACTGAAAAATGATGGAAGACATTGAACAGGAACAAAAGCGGAAGGTATTGCGTTTTGTATATTTGCATCTTCCATTTGCATTGATTGTTCACTTTGTTCAAATGTGCCATTTTTACTTGTTATTGTAAACGTATCAATAATCGTTGTTGTGTTTCTTCTTGGTCTTTTGGGGGGAGGTGGTGGGTGGTTTTTAAGTTTCAATTATTTAACCAACCTATCTTTGTCTAATATACCACTAATTTTAACAAACGAATTTTGAACCGTTGTTTTATTTTTAGTAATTAAAAAATTTGAATATTGTTTTTTAATTAATTCCAAATTGGGATCATTATCGGCCAAATTTTCGGGAAATTTAAAGCTATGGGTCGAATAATGGCGGTAAAGCGAACCGGGTGCTATACCATTTATTGTGGGTCAAACAATAAAACTTTGTTTCAAAACCATTTTTTTTGCTTTTAAAAACCCCTTAAAAACCAAAATTTACAAAATTCAAATTTAACATTGTTATGTATAAGTTCCATTTTTTGTTTTTTGAGTTCTATTTTTTAATTATTATTAGGTTTTTTACGATTGTTTGTTATAGAACTTGAAATAATCTATTAATATACTACATACGCTATATTTACTATAATTTAACTATAAAAATAATATAAAAGTATTAAATATTTTTATAATAGTTGTAATAAAAAACTTTAATAATACATAAAATTCATTAAGCTTTGACACTACAAGGTGAAAAAAATATCGAGACGTAAAATAGCAGTTTGAACCAAAGCCGATAAGTGAGCCACTTGAATAAACCGATTAAGGTTTAAAAGACTAAGCCGATACAATGGAAAGCCTCATAATAAATACAGAGGACAAAGTTCACGACAACATGAATAGATTGTCTGACGCTGCTAAAGCCGCTTTACAGTTTGATGACATGTCGGATATTATTAGTATGGACGCGATCTTAGGTAAAATAAAAGACAACCTGACGTTGAAACAAACAATAATTTACAGTCTAAATTCTATAGTGTTGCCGATATGATTGAACAAAAACAGTAAAAGAGTCTTGAGTTTCATTTAAACACGACTTTAAGAACTCAACAAGTTGCAGAATAGATGTTCTGATGATTTGAAAAGATAATAACTTTAAGAAGATTGTTAAGAACGCAACAAATACACATATTCTTCGCATTATTTGGATGTGTTAAATCAGGCGGACAAAAAAGTATCCGCTTCGATATTATTCATATTCGAATTTTTAAGCTAAGACTGGTTTAATTTTATAGTTTTTTACTATTTTATTTGAATTGTCATAAATCATATTTTTGAATAATTTTGTTATTTTTAATCATTTCCCAAAAACGCATTTTGTATACTTTTTAAGTGTTGAAAATCCACATTTTTGGTAATAAAAATACTTTTGAACACTTAAAGTATTAATTATAATAAATATTAATTATTTTAACTATATCAAGTCAGAATTATTTTAAGTAAACTATATAATAACTATTGAATTGCTAAACTTTATTCAATGTGTATCATAATAAACGATACAAATATCATTATAGCTGTTCGGCGACTTTATATTCCCTTTGAAAATCGCCAACTTTTTAGTTGTCTTAAAAGTCGCCGACCTAAATAATTAGTTAAATAACTATTCAAAATACCATTTATCATGTAAAAGATATTCAAAAAATAAACCATATAAATTTAATAGAATTATTATTAAAAAATAAAATGAAACAATACTGTCCCAATTATATCTTCTCAAATCATTTTTTAAATTATATTTATATGATTATAATATAACAAATTATAACAACTATTGTGTTTTTACACATTTTTGAGACTATAATTAATATGGTATAATTATTAAAGTTAATAGTTATTTAGTTCTAAATAAAGTCTTTTTGAACTAAAGAAGTCCCTTCAAAAGTCGGCGACTTTTAAAGGGACTCAAAAAGGCGCCGACTTCTCAGTAATATCATAAGTCGCCGAACAGCCATTAGAGAAAATTAATATGACCATCACCTGTTAGTCAATAAACACATAATTAAATCGTTAGAATCATACAAATGTTGGTATAAAAAGTATAACATCATTACCACAATGATGACTTACAAAAATGCTTTTAATATAATTATTTCTTTTTTGATATTTACTTTGGTACTTGATAATTTCACTATCCTTTACTAAGTATATACATGTATTTCAAATTCAACGTTTATAAGCTCATTAAGTATATTATTGATACGTATATCACCGTTTTATTGACCTTAGCTAAACAAAATAAAAGCCCATAATTTTCAATTATAGTAGTAATTAAATTGAAAAGTATAAAATAATCAGTTATTGTAATTGAATTGTTCTTAAGGCGGGTTTGGTTTAAATCAATTTTGAATATAAATTTCAATATAATAATAAACTTAA